GTACTAAACTAAAATCCAAAATACATTTTATACTTATTATCGCTTTATTATTAAAGGCACAAACACGAAATGTTGCAGCGCTCGAAACTCCTGTGCATGAAGAGATGTTTGCTTCCACTGCCTCGTCAATTTCAACCGCATCCTCATCTGAAGAGAAGTCCCTGTTCTCGGCATTTTTGGACGATTTTCAGACAGTTTCGGAAAACAAAGAAGATCCAGTTTCTAAAAAACTATCCAAAATTTATGCTGACATTGAAAACTTCGACGTAACATTTGGTCGCTTGCCATTAAATTGCAACATATTGGATTTTTTCAATGATTTCAAACTTAGGATGCCGCATATAAGTGCACTAGCGCAGGTTGTGCTGGCTACACCTGCAACGCAAGTCTCCGTCGAACGGGCATTCTCAGCCCTACATTTTATTTTAAGTGAACGAAGAAGTTCGATTAGCGCAGAAAATTTAAACTCCTTACTAGTTGTTAAGCTTAACACATAAATATAAAAATTTTACAAAAATATGAATATAAGATATAAAATAAGAAAAAAAAATCTAAAAACAACATTGTCTGAAACTTTTTTTGCATTCCTTTTGCAGTAAAAACATAATAATTACGAAAGCAACAACAACGAAAGTAAATGAAAAGACCGTTTGGATTGAGTTTTTCGGTCAATCGGTCTTTTGCTGACTCTCTTTGTGCGAGCGTTTCTCGTTCCGCTCTTCACGCACTGCTCATTAAACGACCGAAATAAAAAGGCTCAACGAAAAGCGCTCAACAGAAAACAGAATTAAGGACAGCAAAAGTCTCTTGCTCAGAGCGAGAGCGAGAGAGTATGAACTTTTTCGGTTCTGCTCGCAACGAGAGCGCAAGAAAAAAAACGGTTGACAGTTATTTACAAGCTCTGATTTTTATATTTGGTATGCTTATTTTTCTCTTTCTTTTTTTTTTTATGTATGGCCATACGTGATATATTTATGAAATGTTGATTGATTATGAAATAAAAAGTTTTAATCTATCTTTATGTACTATTTGTTTTTTATTTTTATTGTCTAATATAGTTATATTATCTCTATCTCCTATTTGTTCTACCTTATAAGGACCTGTATATTTAAAATCTAGTTTATGTCCTGTTTCATTTTTCAATAAAACATGATCTCCTATTTTTAAATCAAAATCCAAACTAGTTTTGTCATAAATAATTTTTTGTTTTTGCTTATGAGCTTCTAGCATTAGTCTAGCTCTCTTAAATGCCTGCTCTAATCTAAATTTTGATTCCTTAGCGTAATCTTCTATATTGTAAAGGGGTTCTATTATATCTACGCTATTAAAATGTTTTGATAGATTTGACGTTTTACCAAAAACTAATTCATATGGACAATAGTCATGTGCCATAGAGGGTGTTGTATTGAAACAATAGGCGAAGTATTGTAGCCATACGTCCCAATCCGTTTTGTCGACTGAGATGTATGAACGAATATACTCATTGAGTGTTCTGTGGCTTCGCTCCACGGTACCTACAGTTTGGTGATGATGTGCAGTAGAAGTTATGTTTTCAATATTTACATTTTTACATAAATTCCCAATAATTGAATTTTTATATTCCGTTCCCATGTCCGTAATGAACGTCTTCATTGGACCGTACTTTAGAATAAAATTTTCAAATATAGCTTTTGCTACTGTATTTGCACTTTTATCTGGTATTGGTATTGCTACTAAGTATTTAGTTAAATCGCAGATGAGTGTTACTGCGTATTCGTTTCCATTATCAGACTTGGGTAGTGGACCAATCGTATCCACAATTACTCTATCGAAAGCTCTTTGCGGAGTTTCGGTTATGGTTAATGGGGTCTTAGTGTGTTTAGTCGTTTTAGACTTTTGGCATTTAGGACATTTCTTTATGTACTCTTTTATGTCTTTGGACATATTTTTCCAGTAATAGTGCCTCTGGACCTTGGCCAAGGTTTTTGTAATGCCTGTATGACCACCTTGTATTGGATCATCGTGAAATGTAGACAATATAGCTTCTTTTTCTTTATTATTTTTTATTACGGTCACCGGGTTGAGTAGCGCTACTCTTAATGATTTCAATATATAATTGCCCATATTTTTAAAATTATCAATTGAAACATGTTCAAAGATATTTTCCCACGGTGCCACTTTAAGTTGGCTGATTTTGTGCATACCGGCTTGCTTTTCAAGCCTTTGAAAGAATTGACCTAAGTCAAGGGTTCCATTAGTATACAAATCGCTAACATTATATCTTGCTGTAATTTTCCTTCCGTGCTTAAATAAACACATATTGTCATTTACATGCAAGGTCACTACTTTACGTACTTCATCATTATTAATGACTTCATATACGTTGTGAAAGCCAGCAGCCTCCACTGGATCATAAACTCACGATCGCCACTGTGCCTGGACTACAAGTTACTACTGTACAATTCAGTCCTAAAGCCAATCTGGACGTATGGCTCCCAGCTGTGGGGGAACGCGAGCAGCAGCAACATAGACATCATACAGCGCGCACAATCAAAAATCCTGAGAACTATCACAGGGGCACCTTGGTATGTTCGCAACGAAAACATCCACCGGGATCTGGGCATTCTCGCAGTGAAAGACGAAATCCAGAAGCAAAAAGAGTCATACAAAGAAAAACTGTCTTCGCACCCAAATTTTCTCGCTCGGGGATTGACTCGGGTTTCTAGCGTATCCCGCCTTAGACGCAACGACCTCCCAACCCAGCAATCGATTTTTAGGGCCGTCTAACTCCGTATCAGTCAATATGACTGTTAGTTAAGTTAAAAATATAAGATTTGATACACCTCTTGTTAGTCTCGCAAAGAGAAGATTCAAGAAATAAAAGCAACGTTAAAAAAAAAAAAAAAAAAAATATACGTTGGGCTTTGAAGCTTTTTCTATGGATTGCTTATGCAATTCTATTTTTTCTTTTCCTGCGCAGGATTTTTGTCTACTTTGGTTTCTGGTAGTGACTTTCAGAATATTTAATTGTATGTTTTTTAAGTCTGTGATTGTTATTCTGGAGAGCGCATCGGCTACATAATTATCTTTGCCCTTTAGGTACTCTACCGTAAAATTATATTCCTCTAATTCAAGTCTCATTCTTGTTAGTTTGGAACTGAGATTTACCATTGAAAATAAGTAAATAAGTGCTCTGTGGTCTGTTTTGACAGTGAAATGTCTACCATAAATATATGGTCTGAAGTGTATTATTGCCCAATGAATAGCTGCTAGTTCTTGTTCTGTAGTGCTCTTGTTGCTTTCACCTTTCGTAAAGGATCTTGATGCGTATGCAACCGGAAGCTGAAGTCCATTTTTGTTTTGAGTTAGGACTGCTCCACAAGCGTATTTGCTAGCATCTGTGATTATGCAAAATTCTTTGCTAAAATCTGGGTATTGCAACAGAGTTGGGTTTATTAATGCTGATTTTAAATGTTCGAAAGCGTTTTGACATTCTGTTGTCCATTCGAATTTTACATTTTTCCTACATAATCTTGTTATGTGACGGGAGTATTCTGCAAAATTCTTTATGAAACGTCTGTAATAATTGCAAAATGCAACGAATCTTCTAGCGCTGTCCACATCATGTGGGACTGGGTAATTTTGAATGACGTCATATTTTTTGTCGTCGGGCAAGATTCCTTTATTTGTGCATTTATGTCCTAGGAAGGTGACTTCATGCATGAAAAATGAACATTTTTCGGGATGTAACTTTAGGTTGTGTTTCCTACATTTCTCAAAAACATCAGTTAGGTTCTTGAGCATGTGGTTTTCGGACCTATGACTATTAAGTCATCCATGTAAAGAAATGCTTGGGAAGGCTCCAATCCAGAGAAAGCTATAGTCATCATTCTTTGAAAGGAGTTTGGCGCTATTTTTAAACCGAATGGTAATCGTGTGAAACGATACGAACCATTGTTCGTTGAAAAGGATGTTATATCTCGTGAATTTTTTTCGAGTTCAATTTGGTGAAAACCGGACATTAAGTCGAGACATGAGAAATACTTTGCTCTACCTAGTTGATCTAAAATGTTATCGATTCTAGGGAGTGGAAATTTATCAGATAAGAGTTTTTTATTAATTTAACGATAATCTATTAATAATCGCCATTTTTTATTTTCTGAATTTGGGAGTGACTTTTTTGGTACTAGCAGAAGTGGGCTATTATAAGGTGATACAGAGGGTTCCACTATTTTATTTTTAATGAGTTTTTGGACATGCTTTTGAATTTCGTCTTGTTGACTATGAGGATTTCTATAATTTTTTATATATACGGGTTCATCATCAGTTAATCTCAGTTTTTGTTTATAGAAATTATTGGTAGTGATTGATTCGGTTTCTAGTCCGAACACATCACTATACTGGGTGCTTAATTTTGTGAGTTGTTTGTTGAATTGAGGAGGGAAGTTTTTGGAAAGTTGGGATAATACAATTTTTTCTCGGGTTTCTAAGTCAGTTTGTACTACTTCGTAGTTTGAAAGTGGTTCATGCAGAATATTTTTAATATAAACTACTTGATCCTTATCTGTGGTATTTAATAGTCTTATATATGCATTCTGGGTTGTTGCTATGGTATTTGCTATATAGATACCATGCTGAACTTCTTGATTCGGAATTAATACACTGTCATTTTCTGAATTCATTTCAATTTTTCGGACGACTTGGGATCTTGCTGGCAGAATTAGAGAGTTATTGCCAGAGCTATATGTTATTGGAACATAAATAGGATATTGGAGGTTATTTGGTCTTATTATAAGCCAGTCTTCAGACGGCTTGAAGTCTAATTGACAGTTGTATCTTTTAATAAAATCGATTCCTAGTATTCCATCGCATGGAATAGCGAACTGAAAATTTACGATATGGAAATCATGTGGAATTATGTATTTTGAAGTTTGAATTTCAATAGAAGTTAAACCTTTTGATTTGGTAACTTCTTGACTTATACCCTGTATGTTTATTATTTGATTTCTTTTGATGTTTTGAAAAGCATCAGAATTTTCCTTTAATATGGAAATTTCTGCACCTGTATCTAGTAGAAAAACTAATTCTTTTCCTGTTGCTACGTTTGTGAAACTAACAAATGTACTTTGACTGAGATTTATAGTGTGAACTTTGGTGTTTCTTACTGTTGTGTACCTAAAGGCGTCTGGGAGTTTCCCGAATCTGTATGGACTACCCTGACGTTATTGTTATGGTTGTTATTGCTATGGTTGTGGCAAAGATGTACTGTATAATCTTTGCCACAACCATAGCTGATGGGACATCAGGGCCCAAAACGGTCAACTTTTTGCGTCGAGCTTGTTGGTGAGGGGGGAACCCACATGCATACGATTCTATTTTTAGAACTCTTTACATGTATCCATCAACTACAATGTGAGCCTTTGTATGTATGTGTGACTGCTCGCACGACGGCGTAAAAAGGTTTTGGCTTCCAAATTTCAATTTCAATTTCTCGTTTCTGTTTTCGATGCGCCGATGTGGTAGTTGGTAGAACAAATAGTATTTTGATCGCCGCAGATCGAGACAGGATGGTAGCGTAATGCATAAAGTAGTTACTCTATGTGTAATTTTTCTGTGTTCAAATCCTCGTAAGGACTTTGAACTTTCTCTTTCTTGTATAAATATTATAATTTTTTTTGTTCTTTTATTGTAAAATTTTTCTTTAATTTTACAATTGTAAAATTGTTTTATTCTTTATAATGTCCCGCTAATAAAAATGCTAATAAAATTTCAAGAAAGTCCTTCCGGTATTTTGGCATCCGACACGTCCGTCAATTGCAATATAATGCAATTAAAAACAAGAAAGGAAAGCTAACTTCGGGCGGAGCCGAAGTTTATATACCCTTGCAGCTAAAACCGGATATATATCGCAAACATCGGATATAGTTGGCCGATCCTTATGAAATTTGGTAGGATGGATCAAAATTTAATCTGTACCAAGTTCCAGCTTTCTATCTTCAAAAACACGAAAGTTGGGTCATTTCCGATCGTTCAGTTATATGGCAGCTATAGGATATAGTCGGCCGATCCTTATGAAATTTGGTACGTTGGATCAACTGACCAAAAATAGAATCTGTATTAAATTTCAGCTTTCTATCTTCAAAAAAACGAAAGTTGGGTCATTTCCGATCGTTCAGTTATATGGCAGCTATAAGATATAGTCGGCCGATCCTTATGAAATTTGGCATGTCGTAATGTTTTGCCAAAAATAGCACTCATGTCAAATTTGAACTCTCTAACTCTAAAAACACCAAAGTTATACCATTTCCGATCAATCAGTTATATGGCAGCTATAGGATATAGTCGGCCGATCCCGGTCGTTCCGACTTATATACTGCGTGCAAAGGAAAGAAGGGTGTGTGCAAAGTTTCAAGACGATAGCTTTAAAACTGAGAGACTAGTTCGCGTAGAAACAGACAGACAGACAGACGGACAGACGGACATGCTCATATCAACTCAGGAGGTGATCCTGATCAAGAATATATATACTTTATAGGGTCGGAGATGTCTCCTTCACTGCGTTGCACACTTTTGGACAAAATTATAATACCCTCTGCAAGGGTATAAAAATAATTAATAAAAAATAGAATCCATAGAAAATCCCAACTTTCTACCTCGAAAAACACCAAAATTATGCCATTTCCAATCAATCGGTTATATGGCAGCTATAGGATATAGTCGGCCGATCCTTATGAAATTTGGTAGCTCGTATTCTTTTGCCAAAAATAGAATTCGTACAAAATCCGAACTCTCTAACGCTAAAAAAAACCGGAGTTAAAGCATTTCCAATGAATCAGTTATATGGCAGCTCTAAGATATAGTCGGCCGATCCTAATGAAATTTGGAAGGTTGGATCAACTGACCAAAAATAGAATCTGTATTAAATTCCAGCTTTCTATCTTCAAAAACACAAAAGTTGGGTCATTTCCGATCGTTCAGTTATATGGCAGCTATAGGATATAGTCGGCCGATCCTTATAAAATTTGGCATGTCGTAAGTTTTTGCCAAAAATAGCTCTCATGTGAAATTTGAACTCTCTAACTCTAAAAACACCAGAGTTATACCATTTCCGATCAATCAGTTATATGGCAGCTATAGGATATAGTCGGCCGATCCGGGCCGTTCCGACTTATATACTGCGTGCAAAGGAAAGAAGGGTGTGTGCAAAGTTTCAAGACGATAGCTTCAAAACTGAGAGACTAGTTCGCGTAGAAACGGACAGACAGACAGACGGACAGACGGACAGACGGACATGCTCATATCAACTCAGGAGGTGATCCTGATCAAGAATATATATACTTTATAGGGTCGGAGATGTCTCCTTCACTGCGTTGCACACTTTTGACCAAAATTATAATACCCTCTGCAAGGGTATAAAAATAATAATAAAAAAATAAAAGTAAATATAAAAATAATCATAAAACTAAAACTTTATCAAAGTTGAAACAAACTCCCGCTAATGGAATCGAACCCAGGACCCCATGAATAAGGACCACGCACTATCCATCTAGGCTACCCTCGAAGTTGGTTTTATGATACTTAAAATTGGTGTTAAAGGAGGCGCTAGAAACTATACCAAAAACAGAGCTGACGAGTAAGGATAGTAGAAGATATTTCTGATCTCTTTACTCTTACATTGGTTCGGTTACAACGTTTCAAACTTTCATCGTTCCAAAGATGTTACGATCTAAAAATAGAATTCTTTCTCTCCCTATCTCATCTGCCAGCCGTTTGTCATGGAACCCGCTCTCAAATGTTTTCATTATTACAGCGGGTTCCACGACGGAAAAAATGAAAACATTTGAGAGCGGGTTCCATGACGCGGCCTACCAAAATGCCGTAGAACCCGCACTTATAGACATTTTTACAGCGGGTTCCACTACGAACTGAGACGATGTTAAGGTGATTTTACAATTTTGTATTTTTTTTATTGGATTAAAAATTTAGGAAAACACATTAAAATAATAAAACAGTAATATAAATAGATTTAAAATTAAAAAAAAAATGGACTTCCCGAGCCTGGTTTGAACTCGTTTTACTTTGCACACCAGCCAAGCACTCTACCACTCGGCTATTCCTCATTCTCTGTCGCGCGAAAAATTTCTCAAACTTAACTTGTCGCGCAATGGAACCCGCTCGTTCCAGCGGGTTCCACTGCTGGAACCCGCCATAGAAAATTTTTCTTTGTATGAGATGTCCGATCTATGTACTGTATAATCTTTGGTTGTGGCTATTATTGCCATTATTATTATGGTTTCCACCACGGCCGTGTCCGCCGCGATTGTTTCCACCACGGTTGTTGTTGTTCATGTAGTTATTGTTATTATAGTTATTGTTTCCGTAGTAACCATTATTTTGGATATACCCGTTATTGTTATATCTACCTCGATTATTACCTCTACCGCGATAATTGTTTTTGTAATTGTTACCGCGATAGTTTCCTCGATAGGCGTATAATATGGAATTTGCATTGCCTGTCATTTCAGTACTGCATTGTATGTACTTCGTGACGGCTTCATTCATTGTTGTGAAATTACTTGCTTCCAATATTGTTTTAAGTCGGCCATGCTCACAATTTTTAACCATTGTGGAGATGGCTTCTTTGGTGCTGAATTTGTCAGCATGCTCGGCCGATAGACCTTCGTCAATATACGAAGCTTCTAGAAGCTTCCGTAGGTTGTCTATCTCTGTTGTAAACTTTTCTGCCGTTTTTCCTTTCTGGCCGGTTTTTGCCATTTTGGCTTTAACCACGTCAGATGTTTCTCCGACTATAGTATCTTGCAGTTTTTTAATTATTGCTTCTATAGTCGTTTCGCTTTGGACTCTGTACAAAGTGGATCCAACTATTTTGGATTTAATAACTTCTAAAGCCAAAGCTTCGAATGTGCCTTTCGTTAGGTTGACTAACCTCAAAGCTGTTATGAATCTTTGCAGGTGTAACCTTTGCCCGTTAAATTCTGGGATGGCACTCGATATTTCCCTAATGTATGCCCTTGGGGCAATTGTTTCGTCAGTCATTGTGGTAGGTTTTACTTCCAAAATGCTGTTGTCTAAATCTGAGTCTGTGTAGTCCTGGTCTGATAATTCAGATTGAATAAGGACTGCCGGAATTGTAAGATTGTTTATATCTTTTTCCTCAATTTCGGGTTCCGTGGAGATAGGGTCATCAGTTTCAGCTTTTACCTGTGATGATAAATCTGAATATTCTGACTCTTCACCAGTTTCTATTGTCAGGGGTGTGTTCAGGATCGTTGGTACTGAAATTGTTAGGTCGTACCTTTGCTTTATAAATATGAGATTGTCTCTTAATTTATTCAGATATTTTGACACCTGAGACCAATGGGCTTTGTCTAGCCTGTCTCTTTGGTCATGTATCAGTGTACGCGCTGTATTGAAGCGGTTTACTAATATTTCTGCATGCTTATTCACAGTGTTTATCTGTGCTGGCCTAGGCCTTGATAATGACTTATAAGATTTGTCAAAATCAATTTTTATACAATGCAATCTTTCATAAATTTCCTTCCATTCCATTATCTAATGGACTACGGATATAATATTATCGGGATATTTTCTTAATATATTCATTTATTTCTGTTTCATTTCTATTTTATTAGACATAAAAATAGATTATACTTCATTCTTTATAAAAATATATTCTGTACTTTAATATAGCATACTTAAAATAATATATCTCCATGTGGATATACAGGTATTATAGGTAGGTGTTTTATTTATTAACGGAACATCTTTTTAATAATTATTGTAGGCATTATTAGGCATTATTATTAATTATTGTAGGCGCTTCCTGTTTTTTTTTTGTTTTTTTTTTTTTAATTTTTATATTTTGTCCAGATCATTAGCCTGGCTTCTGTTTATGGCTCTTTTAGATATACATTTGTTGTGAAATATATAAGCCTTATACAAGATATATGCGCTCATAATTAATACAATAATAAATAATAAGATGTTCGTTAGTTCTAGATCAATGGTTTTGGATTCAACTTTGTTTATTACATTAGCGGTGGAGTCCACCTGTTTCACGTCTACTTAACCCATTTTGGGTATTTTCTCTAGAATTTAATTTATTTAATTGATTTAATTTATGATTTATTTGCCATTCAGTTTGGCTCATTTAAAGATTTGCCTTATTTGGCTTTGTGTATATTGCTTTTTTTTAATTTTATTTGTAACTTTTTTTTTTTTATGAAACCTGCCTATTTTTCATTGTATATATTTTTTTTTACATAATAACCTGCCTATTATTTGTATGGTTTTCAGGCCACACGCTAATCGGGCAACTTTAATGTCGCTCAATTTTACAAAGGATTTTTATATATATATAAAAAAAATATGCATCGCAGTGCAATAAAAAAAAATATGCAACGCAGTGCATGGGAAAAAAAAATTTGTGCGCCCTTGGCAGCGCTGTCGGTTCACTTTTCCGGGCTTAGCTTGGAGCGCTAAACGGGGCCGGTGCTGGCTGCACAGGCGTTTCTTCTTTATTGAGATGTTGGGGCACCGGTGCTGGCACAGGTTTGCTCGCAGAAGGGTGACTCCAGGGGTCCTCTGTCATTTCTTTGCAGTTATCCGGTCATCTCGGAAGTTGTTTATTTATTATTTATTTATTTATAAGTTTAATTATTCGTTGCTGATAGGTTGTTGGCATGGGGACTGAGTGAGTGTCAGATCGTTGTGGTTTTTTTTTTTTTTGGTAATTTTGTTTTTGGAAAGTCAAGTTCAGCTCGTAACTTTTGCCTTGTTGACAACGCTGGAGGGGATTTATTTGTACTTTTTTTTTTTTTTTTATTTTAACGTTGCTTTTATTTCTTGAATCTTCTCTTTGCGAGACTAACAAGAGGTGTATCAAATCTTATATTTTTAACTTAACTAACAGTCATATTGACTGATACGGAGTTAGACGGCCCTAAAAATCGATTGCTGGGTTGGGAGGTCGTTGCGTCTAAGGCGGGATACGCTAGAAACCCGAGTCAATCCCCGAGCGAGAAAATTTGGGTGCGAAGACAGTTTTTCTTTGTATGACTCTTTTTGCTTCTGGATTTCGTCTTTCACTGCGAGGATGCCCAGATCCCGGTGGATGTTTTCGTTGCGAACATACCAAGGTGCCCCTGTGATAGTTCTCAGGATTTTTGATTGTGCGCGCTGTATGATGTCTATGTTGCTGCTGCTCGCGTTCCCCCACAGCTGGGAGCCATACGTCCAGATTGGCTTTAGGACTGAATTGTACAGTAGTAACTTGTAGTCTAGGCACAGTGGCGATCGTGAGTTTATGATCCAGTGGAGGCTGCTGGCTTTCAGTTTTAGATGCATCTTTTTGCATTCGATGTGCTTACGCCAGGTAAGTCGTCTATCAAGGTGAACGCCAAGGTACGTTACGTCGTTAGCTTGAGGGATCTGCATACCGTTTAGTAAAAGCGGAGGGCATGTTTGTCTATTTGTCTAGTCTGTGAGATGATTAGCCAGTTGGGTTGTTGCCTGCGTTGGGCATCTGGAGCGACTAAGGATAGCGGTATCATCGGCGAACGTTGACGTTGTTAGTTGTGCGCTCGTAGGAATATCCGCAGTATACAAAACATATAGACACGGCCCGAGTGCGCTTCCCTGTGGAACTCCAGCTTCGATGGTGTAGTCGCCCGAAGTAGCTGCGTTGCATCTCACTGAGAATACCCTATTGAAGAGGTATGATTCCAGTAGCTTGTGGGTGTATGTTGGCAAATACGTTTTAATTTTGTGCATGAGTCCGATGAGCCAAACTCGGTCGAAAGCTTGAGATACGTCGAGGAAAATAGCGCTGCAGTATTCTCGTTGTTCGAAGGCTGAGCGTATTTCGGATGTTAATCTGTTCACTTGTTCGATGGTTCCATGGTTTCTTCGAAAGCCAAATTGGTGTGCCGGGATGATATTGCAAGCTTCCAAATGTGGTATTATGCGAGTTAACAAGCATTTTTCAAACAGTTTAGACAAACAAGATAGAAGGCTTATTGGTCTGTATGATGACGGAATTGTGTGGTCTTTTCCAGGCTTCGGAATCATTATAATAATGGATTTCTTCCACTTTTTTGGGAAATAGCCAAGATTAATGATTCCATTAAATAGTTTGCAGACGACCTCTATAGCGCATTTTGGAAGTTCGATCAGCATCTTTGGGGTCAATAGGTCACCACCGGGAGCCTTTTTTGGTTTTAGCCCTCTTATGACTTTTTCGATTTCGTTCGGCCGGAATGGAGGTGCGGCTGGCTGAGGGGAGGACTCTGGCTGAATTACTGGCAGGAGGAATGAATTTGAGGCTGGGTTTGGCTGGAAGACACTTTGGAGATGTGTGGCGAATGTTTCAGCTCGGTCTTCGTTGCTGCGAGCCCAGCATCCCGAAGAGTTTCTTATCGGGGTGGTCGTTTCAATTGGGGCACTAAGATTTGGATGGGCCCTCCACAGGGGGTACTTTGTGCTTGTTGGCGAGAGATTCTGGATGTACCTCAGCTGTGCATTTTCTTCCTGTTGGTGAAGAGCCTGGTCGAGTGATCGGGTTGCTTCCTTAAGGCGTTGTTTTGAAGCTGGTGATCTGCTGTTTTGCCAATCACGACGCGTGCGCCTCTTTTCTCGCACGAGCTGTTCGATTTGCTGATTAGATTTGAAGTGTTTGTTTCGGTCTACTTCTTTCCTATGAGGAGTAGAGATTTTAGCTGCCGCAACGAGTACTTCTTCCAGGGCGCTCGTAGTGTAGTCGATGTCCGATTCCATGTTAAAATCCGGGGCGAGTTCTATGTGGGCACTCACGTACTTTTTGTATTTTAGCCAGTTTGTTTTTGTCGTCGTCAGACTGAAGGGGTGTTCGGTTATTTCTGGGCTTTGAAGAAGCGTTAGAAGCACAGGCGAGTGGTCTGATGATAAGTCCGAGACTGCTTTGGCACTTATTAGATTGCGAGGTATGTTTTTTGTCACTGCAAAATCAATAAGGTCTGGGAGCTTTCGTGAGTCTGTTGGCCAGTATGTGGGACTTCCAGGGGAAACGTAGTCCAGTTTATTTTTCACATTTATAATTGCATTGTACAATTGTCTTCCTTTGGGAGTCACTAGACGTGATCCCCAGTGCGTATGTTTGGCGTTGTAGTCTCCTGCGGCTATAAATCGATCCCCAAGTGAATTGTAGAAGTCCATAAATTGTCCTTCCGAGATTGAGAAGCGAGGAGGGCAGTAAACGGCAGCAATTGGAAGGATTCCGTTGCTTGACTGAATTTGTATCGATGTGGCCTGCAAGAAGTTTGTTGCAAACCTTTTGTGAAAATGGTGTTTAATTCGTTCTCTGATTAGAACTCCAGTTCCGCCGTGGGCTTTCCCATCTGGATGATCTGTGCGGTAGATTGTGTAGCCTCTTATATGAAAGTTGTATTTGCTTGTAAGATGCGTTTCCACCAGTAGCATAACGTCAATATGGTTTTCGGTCAAGAATTGTGACAATTCTTGTTTATGCCGTGAGACACCATTGGCGTTCCACATTGATATTCGTAGCGCCTGCATAGATTATTTGGACTGTTGTGCTACGAGCAGCTGTATCACCATGTTCTGGTTTTGAACAAGCGTTTGCATGGTCGTTTTCATGAATGACATAAGCTCCATCATACTTTGTTGGAGGGTAAGCATCATAGTTTCCGTTTTGCTGTGTGGCTGTTCTGGGGCCTGTTGAGCGCTTTGAGAGTTAGGCTGAATTGGAATTTCCCTTCCAGATCGTAGAGCATCGGCATAGGAGAAGCCGTTGGTGGTGTTTAGTGGACCGAATGAGGATCTCGCAGCTTTGGCGAAGAAGACGTCTGGCGTGGTT